GTGGGGTGTCGAGTATACTGTGTTGTGTGGGGTGTCGAGTATACTGTGTTGTGTGGGGTGTCGAGTATACTGTGTTGTGTGGGGTGTCGAGTATACATATACACACACTGATCATGAATGCACACATGTGTACACACATAACTGCACATGGCGTGGGACCGTGCACATACCTCGCATACTTTACAGAGTCCCCCAATACGTTAAAAAGGCAGCGCATTAGTACAAAATAAACCACCGCAATATTGACGATTTTCTATGCATCGGGATTGATAGGGTTAGGTGGGCTGCATGGGTTAGGCAAAAAGTTTGTTTTTTTCAGTACCTCCTCAGTGCCCAACTGGCTCGGTGAGGTCCTCTGACCTCCTTTATGAGGTCACAAGAGACTTATGGCGAGAGATCTCCTGGCGAGACTATATGGAGGTTCTTGAGTTCGAAGGTTCTTGAGTTCGAAGGTTCTCGAGTTCGAAGGTTCTCGAGTTCGAAGGTTCTCGAGTTCGAAGGTTCTCGAGTTCGAAGGTTCTCGAGTTCGAAGGTTCTCGAGTTCGAAGGTTCTCGAGTTCGAAGGTTCTTCGTTTTGATGTTATTCTTCGACTGATGTTGACGTCAATGGCGCCGAAGGTCCTGGCTGTGAGAGCTCGCCACGTGGTCACTGTAGGGGAGGTAACGAGCGCTGGAGGCTGCCCCTTAACGGGTACTCAGGGTAGTAACAGACTCGAACTGGCCTGTGAGTTGAGAGGATGTCAGCTGATTGAGTTCGTCGGCTGATCAAGTCGGTTGATGGGGTTTGTTAGCTGATTAAGTCAGTTTATCGGGGGTCAGTCAGTTGATGGGAATAGTCTGCATATCAGTGCAGTCAGTTAAACTGGATTGGGAGATAATTCAAGTAATCATTTGCACTAGTGTGGCCTCGTGATTAGCTAATGAAGGTAGCCAGCTGATTAGACCAATCAATTGATTAGAGTACTCAGTCTTTCATGGTTGTTTACTAATCAGGCAAGTCAGGTGGCCAGGCTTCTCAGTGGGCTGGACTCGTCAGTAAAGTCGATTAGTTAGCCAGTCAGTCATTTCAGTTAGACGAGAAGTGACATCAGGTGATCGAGCCGGCGGAAAGTTCAATCCTAACGTATGTGAACAAGGAATCGGTGTTTAAGACGAGCCCCCAGTTAGTTAAGCCAGGTTGAATGACCTTGGCCTCCAACCAAGATTAGATGCCAGGTTGGTTGGCAGTAGACGGTTGAGGTCAAGCAGTACGTGACCCGTCAAGGGAATCACTAGCTGGAGACAGGGAGAAGATTAGGGACAGTGGTGGTCCCGACAGACGGGTGCATGGTACCCGGTTATCCAAACAGACATAGGACACGACAGACAGACAGGCATGATGGGGGGGGGGGGGGCTCAAGCAGGCAGCTTGACGAGTCAGACAGATTACTAAGGCAGATTGGTGAACAAGGCAGGCAAGATGGTGAAACTTGCTAGTTTCGGGTCGTGATATTCAGCTTCGAATCTACGATGCGAAGTTCGGATTCGTCCTCGATTGTGTCACAGTTATTCTATCTTACCCATTCAATATTTTACCGTCAATCGTCTCTCTACATAATAATAGTCCACGCCAATAGTTCTAACAAGACTAACTCGGGCAACATGTTTCGTCTCTGAACACCTGGATTTGATTGTTTCTTAGTACACTTAATCCGATGAAAACGAAGGTAGATTCACAATTAAATTGTCAAAGTCTATAATCCATTCCAGGTTGGTGAACGTGAGGTCCAGTAGAAATAGTTCTTTGTCTGCTTCTACGCACCTCTGCTCCACACGTTAAAATAGGCGGGAATTTTTAGTGATGAGGCTTCAGCGTGCGATGCAGTTCGGTGCGTGTACGAGGTGTCGAGCACATACACCTAGTTCCAATTTTCATCATTGATTTTTCATTGATTCAGATTGATTTTCATCAATTACACAGCTAAAGTGTGTGTGTGTGTTGTTGAGTGTGTGTGTGAACAGGTGATCCAGATGCTTTAACCAGCTTGTTTGACCCTTCTGCTAAACTTCTCCTTTATCACGTTTCATCATGTTTTGTAAATTCTTTAATGCGCCTGAGTGATCCGTGTTGCTCTTGTTTCTAAATCCACACTTCCAGTATATCCACACTTCCGGTTTAGCAAATATGTGTCACAAACACTTATAAATCCACGTTTCTAGTTCAAAAAATAATATCCACATTAGGTGTATGGTTTCTTGCCACGGTTTTTTTAATCTCCCTCAACAGATATATATATATATATAATCCACGCCAACAGATATATAATCCACGTCAACAGATATGTAATCCACATAATAGGTATTGAAAGTAAACTGCCAAAGTTGCTGAAAGGAGCCATATCCAGACTGAGCAGTCCACAGCGGACTGGCAAAATGTATACACATCCACATCAATGGTAATCTCACTGAAAAAGGTTCCAACAAACAGTAATATGGTACACAACAAATAGATCGAACTAACGGTCATCTAATGGGAAAGCTGTTCAAAACCCCTACGGGGCCACACAAGTGTGACGTAATGGGCCGATTCCCATAAAAATGCCTAACAGCTTCCGCTAAAATTCCTCGTATAATAAAGTGACACCAAAACGTTATTTGCGAATCTGTCGGCACTTGTGAAATGTAAAACACTTATACATTTGCCACTAAGAAATATTATTGTACAGGAAACCAATGATTAAAAAATCAAGTGTCATTAACTGGAATGAAATTGGCTGACACCAGAGGAACTATCATACATATGGTTGACAAAATTGTTGTACAAGTCAGCTGTGTCAGCAGCTGTTGTATTTCTGTGGTGAGAATTATCGTCTAAACGAAGTTTGGTACGGCGAGATGCTTTGAATTGGGGATTCTTGTAAACACTGGGAGGTCAATAAACATTCAAAAGGCCTGCGCAGACCGTTGGTCTCGGCTGCGCAGGCGGCCGTTTTTATAGGGGCTGTCTGAATGTAATTCATCTCGAGCAATATAACATATGTATAAATATATATATGGCGTAGAGGGGGGAAGGGTTTCGAACCATTGTACGCGGTGGGGCAAGAAAATATTCGTGGTTCTCTTAGCGTTTCAGGGCGACACATACTCGGATTTGAGTGTTTTCCTTTGTTCTTAAGAACTGAGAGTGGAATTCTTTGGATTTACTGGCATATACTTTATTTACACATTTGGTTAGAGGCTCGTATGTTTCTACGGAGATGTGACGATCTGCGTGACCTCTGACCCGTCATTGACTCATGCATGATCAGTAATTTGGATCTGATCGATTTTATTTGACCTCCATGTGAGCATGAAATTTCTAGCTGACCTCCCTTGACCTCCATGTCCCCAGTCGATCTGTGTTCCTATTTTACCTTCACGTAATCGTCATACTCCCAGGTGACCTCAACGTGATGAGTAAACATCGAATTAGTGACTCTTGGCTGCCAGACTGGCTGGCTTCTCGACTTTGTTGTTGATCAACAAAATCAGCAACTCACCGGCGTAACCTGCCTTCTCTCTCTCTCTCTCTCACACACATACATACTCATATAGCAGCCTCTTCCGCGTGTGTGTTTCGCACGACGCATGGGAAGGTTTGTGTGTCAGCCTCTGTTGTTGTTGTTAAAGATTCGCTACTTGGAACAAGCAGTTCCAAGCAGCACGGGCTATGGTGAGCCCGTAATTGTCAGCCTCTGCTGGGGGGAGAGAAAGGAGCCTTGAGGGCAATACCAGGTAGCCTCCTGTAGCCTCTTCCTGTGCAGATTCCTGCCGACGGCGTTGAAATACGTGCCTGGCGCGCCCGCCTCATCCAAGGGGAATACACGGACCAGAAATAATAATGTTATATTCTAACACACAGTTGATTTCTGGAACATTATTGTTCTAAATTTGGAACCAAAAAAAAAATAATGACATGTTTCTGAAGAGTTTATTCTCTGAAACCGTGAGTCTAAATGCATTGTTTTTAATCGTGTGTTTCTGTTTGACATCAACCATTTTTAACTTTTGTCCGGTACCAAATCAAGATTTCTCATCATCATTAAGGAACCAAGACTGTTTTTTTCTCCTTATTGTGACCCCTAGCAATTTGTTTTTGTCTTTAAATGTAAACATTAATTTTTTGTATATATATTTTTACGTAGCCTGGTTAGTGTTGTGTGGGGGGAGTGGGTGGGGGTAAGGTGTTACCGAGAGAGGGGAGGGAGGGGGAGATTTTGGAAGGGGGATGTGGAAGGGGGTAATAGAAAGGACGGTGTTACCGAAGCAGATATCTCTTAATCATCTCTCTCTCTCCCTCGCTGTAGTTACAAAAAAACACATTAAGGGTGACGCCATGTCGGTGGCGTCCGGATCACTTCGCCTGGCTACGGCTTCGTCTAGCCCTCTCTGATCTACCTACGAACGTGCTGGTTGGTCGGGTGTGTTTGTGTGTTAATCAACTGTGCTAATCCAACTAATCCAACTCACCAGATGAGCTGAGGTTAAAAACACTTGTAAAACTTGATTTCTTTTTTTTTTGTTAACCCCTACGGTCGATGTGGCACATAAATTTTACAAAGCTAATCTATGACTGGAAGATAGATCCATCAAAATTGTAGTACCAAGTGTTGTGGAAATTAAGTAATGAACAAATGCACACGTGTCGCGAGGCCGCATACACACCTGTCATGGCACACGACACCGCATGTACACCTGTCTTGGCGCACGAGGCCGCATATATACATCTGTCATATGGGGGATGAAGCCACATATACATTTGTAATTGGCGCATGAATCTACATAGGCACATGTGACATGGCGTATGAGGCCCACATATACCTTCTGCGGCGCATGAGACCGCATATATGCACCTGTCATGACGCCATGAGGCCGCATATGCACACCTGTGGTATAGAAGACAGAGTGACAAAGAATAAATACATTGTTTTGGTCGTGGAAGAGAGGTACTTCCGGACAAGGAAAAGGGGCCTCCTTGAAGATGTCGGTGTGTACACACACACACACACACACACACACACACACACACACACACACACACACACACACACACACACACACACACACACAAAGTTCCGTCCCTAACAAGGACTACTAGCCACAGAGTCTAGAACTGCAGTTTCTTCTAGTTATGACAACTTGAGCATGGGAAACAGATGTGTGAGTGTGAGTCTTGGCACTGAAAAGGTTGGCACCACAGCTGGAAAATGCTGGCACCACAGCTGGAAAATGTTGGCACCATCACTGGAAAATGTTGGCACCATCACTGGAAAATGCTGGCAACCATCACTGGAAAATGTTGGCACCACAGCTGGAAAATGTTGGCACCACAGCTGGAAAATGGTGGCACCACCACTGGAAAATGGTGGCACCATCACTGGAAAATGTTGGCACCACCACTGGAAAATGGTGGCACCACCACTGGAAAATGGTGGCACCATCACTGGAAAATGTTGGCAACCATCACTGGAAAATGTTGGCACCATCGCTGTATGATTCAGACAGTAATGTCGAAAGTCTTCAGAATATGAGAAAAGAGCAGCTACTGCACATTTACATACTCTAATATATTGGTACAGATATTTTTTGTTTTTTAGTCCCTAGATTCACACGTGTGTTGGTATGAAGAACACAGATAATCATAATGGTGAATGGATAAATTACATATGTAGTATACTATATATATATGTATATAAAAAGAAGCACACGATGCATAAGTGTGAGCGTGGTGATCCTAAGGCCAAAGGATTGGTATTCCAGAGCGCTTTGCTTCTTCCTCCAGGATCCCAGCGTCAGTCCAGACGCGGAGTTCGGAATGATCCAGGTACTGATGTTCTTGACTATGTTGCTGATGTCCTAGTTGTGGGTGGGAGCCACTGCTGGGGTTAGTGGTGGTGGTATTGCTTGTGTTGTGGAGTGTCCTGCGGGTGGTGGTGGATGACTTCGTGCTGGTGATGGTGGGGCTCGTGCTGGTGGTGATGGGCCTCGTAGATGTGCTGCTGCTGTTGCTGCTGCTGCTGGTGGGTGTGGTGGTGGTGAGGGTGCTCACTTGCCGCTTCCCTGCCTCGCCGTATGGCCAGCACTTCCCGTCGGATCATGCGACCCACTTCCTGCGGAGTCAGGTAGTCGGAGCCCTCCGAGTAAGAGGTCTTGCGACTGGATGGTGCGCTCTTGAACCCACACCCTTTGTACATCTCCTTCTCGTCTGACGATGAGTATATCGCCGGGAACTCTGTGTGCAGCACCGACTGTATGTCATCCATAGTCATGTACTCGTGGTCCTCCGGGTGAGGGTCTCTCTCTGGCTGGCACTCGTGGTGAGCAATGTTGCTCACTTGACTGTTGCACCCCGGGCAGTCTGTAGTCTCACACGCCCTCTGAAAAGACCGAATCTCGCCCATTGACAAGTATCCGCCGCTATCCCGTCTGCTCTCGGCAACAGAGGCATTGGAAATACGTCTGAAGGCGCCTCGAACCTCTTCCATGGACATGTAATCAGGATCGTGAGAGTGGTGGGGAAGGTTAGCGTAGTGGGGCTCATGAGGGGCGGGGGGTGGGGGAGGCTCCCGAGGGGGTGGCAGTGGGTGACCACTTGGTAGAAGTCGAGACTCGCATTCCTTCCAACACCCTCCTTCTTCTCTCCACGACAAAGGCTCCGTCGATGGTTGAGGAGAACTAAGCTTCCGAAGAGGACTGAAGGAAAGGCCCGTTGGAGTCCCTGCTGGGGTGGTGGAGGTAGAGTCATGGTGGGAGTGGAATGGAATTCTAATGGCTGGGGAAGAGGGTGGTAGGTAGGACATGGAGCGAAGGCGGCAGCCAGGGACAACGTCTGCATCACCCCAGTCAGCGTCTGTGTCGCGGACAGGTGTTCCACAACTTTGTGAACCTTTCTCCACTGCAAAGCTATCCATGGAGTAGCTGTTGGGAAACTTTGTTACCAGTTCTTGAGGAGGTAAGAAGTTAATGCCAGACTTGCGCTGTCTCTCTAAAGAACCAGATTTTTCTTTTGGAAACTTCTTTAAAAAACTAAAGGTCTTTGTCATTAACTTTGGAGACTTTAGGAAAGCATAGGAGTCTTTGCCTGCCATTGCTCCACAAGAGTCATCAGTGACGCTCGGGGCATCCGGAACCTGTGTGCCAGGCGTCTCTGGTCGCCAGTACTGTCTGTGGCCACACGGTGGTTGCTGCTGTTGTTGCTGTTGCTGTGGCGTGTCTGGTGTAGAGATATCTGCTAGTGAACCGTCGGTACTTGGAGTCCTTTGAGTCTGAAGAGAAAATTGCCGCTGGAGTCTAAACGGTATCTTGGAATGAGGCGAGATTTGTATGTCATCTTTGTTTGAACCCTTGAATAGAAAGAGGTTTTTGGGTCGAGGTATCATGGGAGATCTACTTGGGGATACTCCAAAGAGCGATCTTGCCTTTTGCTTTGGTGACATCTTTGGGGAAGCAGATCGACTGGTCTGACGCTCTGGCCCAATTTTCTTTCTAACTCGAGGTAGAGTGCCAATTGCTTGCACCAGTGCCATATCTGCACTGCCTAAGGTGGTTATATCATCATATCCCGAGGTCTCTACATCGAGCATGCTATCCGTTGAGTGAGATTTGCTCTGAAACGAAAGGCCAAATATTTTCTTTAGAGTTCCTGATTTAGAGAGAGCTTCCTCAGCCCAGGGGTCGGGTGAGAATGACTTAGGTCGTCTTGGTGGTAATGGCGGTGGTTTCGACTTTTCCTGAAAGCTGTAGCTTCTCTTGATGTCTCTGCGGCACTTATCAAGCTCTTCATAGTCATGTTCCTTGGCTTGTTGGTTAGCAGTGTTGAGGGGTTTCAACACGTCCACAATCTCTTCATATACTGTGCACGTTTTAGGGATCGTGGGCATTGTAGGAAGCTCTGACATTCTTCTGTAGTCCTCGGGCTTATCCGTAACTTCCTTATAGGACTCTGACATCGTCCTGTTAAGTTGCCTGTTCTTTCTATCCTTGTGTGCAGCGCAGGTCACGTTGAGATTCTTGGCAAAGAAAGATTTTCTAGCACGGGCACTCTGCAAACACCAAGCTCCTACTTTGGTATCCACATCAGGCTCCTCTTCTAGTGCGCTCATTCCCCGTCGACCTTCCTGTTTCCCGTCAGTGCACGGAGAATCCACCTTCCTGCTGTCATCTCCCTCTATTGTAATGTCACGTACGTCCTCTTTAAGACATGTTCTGACTCCAGAGTCTAAGGAATCAGACTTGGTAACAAATCGACGTGGCGTGTTCTCTGACATGTAGCGTCCACCGTCACAGTGCGTGGAAGGCGACGCAGAGAGTCGCACTCCAGAATCTGTTGAGCGATAAGAATTGTAGGAACCAGAGGAAGACGTGCGGTCCTTGGGTAGATCTGTCTGGCGGAGGTCGGCATCTTCGAGGTCGTCATCTCGAGACTCGAGCTCCTCATCAGTCTCGTCAAGGCAAAGTTTGGCAAGATTGGTCTCGCTCATGGAGCGCCGACGGTTGTGTCCCAGCATGCGGCCGGGCATGGGAGGCTCTCCGCGTACCTCCTCAGCCAGATTACACTGGCTGCTACTGAGGCGCGGCGGCGTGTGAACGTTGCACAGCGGCTGTAACTCGTGTATCTGCGCCAGGTCCATCACCGAGGTCGACTTGCGCATTTTCGGCGGGTCTGGTAAGCGCGGAGGCAGCACCACGACGGAACTGAGCGCACCGGACAGCTCAGAGAGGTCGCTGATGAGGGAGACGTCATCGGCGGCTGAGGCAGAGATGAGCTCAGACACGGCTTCGTGCAGACCCTCCAGCAGGGAACTCAGCTCCGGGGAAAAGAAGTAGAGGCAGGCCTCGCCGCACGGGTGACACCTGGTGGACACAACACATTAAATATTTGGCGCGACCCACTTAATCTATCTGGAACGAAATGTTACAGACTGCAGATCAATTATACAGGGATTATTAACTATCATTGTTACTCGACATTGTAAATATTACTAAATAACGAGGATATTTAGGAGAGGTTTTTGCGGAGAGCATTATATGATAACATCCTGACAAGTGGCATATAGAAGATTGTCTTAACATTCATGCTGAGGCTTTTGAATAATATAGTTCATTGACCACTGATAAGTGTGAAGTATGCTGAAGTGTCGCAAGTACTGAAGGTATTACTGCTGACACTTATACCTCTACTTCTCGTGCCTTTATTTATGCAACTATCATGACTTCTTTGCCTGCTACTATTAACTATCACTACTACTGATACCATCAGCACATCTCCCGTGCCAGGTAAGTACGACGGGCTCACCATAGCCGGTGCTGTTTGGAACTTTTGGTTAAGAGTTGTTTAATCTAAAACGGACAACAGACAACTTATAATTGATACCACCATTGATACTACTATTGATACCATCACCACTACCACTACTACTACCACCACCACTACCACTGACACACTACTACTACTACTACTAGTAGTAGTAAGTAATGGTAATGTTCTCACAGACATAATAATATAGGATAGAAACCTACACTTGTGTATTTGTCAAGTTTATGTCAAGACTGCAGACGATGAGTCACATTAACGTGGCAAAGATGACCAAACCACAACTCAGAAGACGGAGACGCGACAACGTTTCGCTCCGTCTTGGATAATGGTCCAGGATGGACCGAAACGTCGTCGTCGTCTCTTCTCCATCGTCTGAGTGTGTGGTGAGGACGAGGTTAGACTAGTCGTCGAGATGTAAGTCTCGTTATAACCACGTTACAACCTTGACAAAGCACTCAGGAGAGAGCGAAAGACTTGGTGTAAGTGGTAGTAGTATTGGTACTAGCGTCACCTTACGAACTCACTGTCTTGTCTGCACGATGAAGATCTTCCCTTCGTCCTCAAGCTCTCCGCCCGTGGCCACACACACTCTCTGGATCGAAGTCAAGGGCCACTCCACCCGCGTGGTGCCTGCCGGGTAGAGAGAAGGTCAGGTTAGGTCAGGTCACGGGGGTCGAGTGAACATGGAAGGAGGAGTGGCTAGAGAAGCACTCTTGACACTCCACCATAAACCAACCTGTCCTCCACAAATGAGATCACATGTACGATTAAGTCTCAGGAGGAAGCACTAAGCCACAATGGTTGTATAACACTTGAAACACACGAGAACGGTATGAAGGAACGGTGACCTACCACTGGATCATCGGGGATCGAACGACGACCCTGCAACAGATGATAGGTAAGTATTGTATTAGACGCTCTTGATCGCTAATCTGTTGAGGTCTTGACTTAGACGTCTAGGAATTGTCTCAGGTGTTTGGGGGCCGAAGCCGTGAGCAAGGCGAACACTCTCCCTCACGCGAAGAAAAACTGTTCCTCATGCTTTCATATAATGAGGAACGTGTCATTCATTTCATATAATGAAGACAAGATCCAAAATTGGATTTTGGCTTCATTATCTTCATTTGTTCGTCGGAAGACTTAACACAAACGTGGGTTTAGGATGTAAGCCTCCTCCCTCCTCCTCCTCCTCCTCCTTCTTCTCCTTCCCTTCTTCCTCCCCCTCCCTACTCCTCCTCCGTCTCTTCCACGTTATCTTGCATCATTTAAATTTGTCAAAATAACCTCAATTAGAGTTACTGCTGCTACATCATAATTAGGATCAAAACACTTATGTACTTAGGTATTTTATGTAAATATTTGAGCTATACAAAGTCCTTCGCACTCTCCTGAGTGCGTTATCAAGGACGTGTAAGGTTTGGACAAGACTCACATCTCAAGAGAATGCCGAGTGCAAAAGATATTGTGTAATTGAAATATTTACAATAAATAAGCGTGTGGGTATTTTTTTTATTCCCATGTCAGCGATAAGACGTTGCCATTACATCTTATAATTAGTGTGATGATGATGATGATGAGGTGGTGATGATGAGGTGATGGTGATGAGGTGATGGTGACGGCATCCGCCGGCCTCGCGCCTCTGTGTGTGTCTGTCATTAAGAATAGTTCAGGTTTAATAGCATATCGCTTCCAGGGGTTTGAAAGGTCGCGCTAACCTAAAACATATATATATATATATTTTTTTTTTAGAAATGTCAAAGTGTAGGTCCTTTTAAAGGGGGTGGCATGGTTGCCATGGGAGGGGTGTGAGGGGGGGGGGTTGCATGGTTGCAATATTGGGGGGGGTTGCATGGTTGCAATGGAGAATCTTGCATGTATCTAAAGGCTGCTTTGCCTCAAGGAGGAGGGTGGGAGGGGGTGGGGGAGAGAAGGTCCTTGGGGTCCTCCTTGGGGTCCACTTTGGGGTCCACCTTGGGGTCCACCCTGGGGTCCACCTTGGGGGTCCACCCTGGGGTCCACCCTGGGGTCCACCCTGGGGTCCACCCAGGATCCACCCTGGGGTCCACCCTGGGGTCCACCCTGGGGTCCACCCAGGGCGACAAAAACACACAAACACGCGTTGGCAACCACTCGTTAGTTCTGCCCTCCTTTCAGACTTCATTTGTTTCCGGCGGAACTCATTTGCATAAACACGGACCGCTCCTAGCATGGGAAGTGACCTTATTGTTGTTCTTGTTGTTCCTCTCTTGTCTCATTCGGCTCATCTCCTTCCTCTCCCTCCTACCTGCCATCACACACCCACACACACCTGTCCTAGCCTCCCCACACACACCTGTCCTAGCCTCCCCACACACACCTGTCCTAGCCTCCCCACACACACCTGTACTGGCCTCATACACTTGTCCTAGCCTCCCCACACACACCTGTACTGGCCTCACACACCTGTCCTAGCCTCCCCACACACACCTGTACTGGCCTCATACACTTGTCCTAGCCTCCCCACACACACCTGTACTGGCCTCATACACCTGTTCTAGCCTCCCCACACACACACCTGTACTGGCCTCACACACCTGTCCTAGCCTCCCCACACACACCTGTACTGGCCTCATACACTTGTCCTAGCCTCCCCACACACACCTGTACTGGCCTCACACACCTGTCCTAGCCTCCCCACACACACCTGTACTGGCCTCATACACTTGTCCTAGCCTCCCCACACACACCTGTACTGGCCTCCCACACCTGTCCTAGCCTCCCCACACACACCTGTACTGGCCTCATGCACTTGTCCTAGCCTCCCCACACACACCTGTACTGGCCTCACACACCTGTCCTAGCCTCCCCACACACACCTGTACTGGCCTCATACACTTGTCCTAGCCTCCCCACACACACCTGTACTGGCCTCATACACCTGTTCTAGCCTCCCCACACACACACCTGTACTGGCCTCCCACACCTGTCCTAGCCTCCCCACACACACCTGTACTGGCCTCCCACATATTCTGGCCTCGCAAACACCTGTTCTGGCCTCACACATCTGTTTTAGTCTCACACACCTGTTCAGGCCTCCCAAACACCTGTTCTGGGCCTCACACACCTGTTCTGGCCTCCCAAACACCTGTTCTGGGCCTCACACACCTGTTCTGGCATCCAATACACTGTCCTAACCACCCACCACACCTGTCCTTCCCCTTCCACACCTATGTTCTATTGCCCTACAGATCTCTCCACACACCTGTTCGCACAACACCTGTCCATAAACCGGTTCTGGCCTCATCATAAACACGTGTCCACTACTTCACACACACCTGTCTATCGTTTCGTATTGTTTCCCCCATGCATATTTTGGCTGTACTCACCTAGTTGGGCTTGCGAGGGTTGAGCTCTGGCTCTTTGGTCCCGCCTCTCAACCGTCAATCAACTGGTGTACAGGTTCCTGAGCCTACTGGGCTCTTATCATATCTACATTTAAAACCGTGTATGGAGTCAGCCTCCACCACATCACTGCCTAATGCATTCCATCCGTTAACTACTCTGACACTGAAAAAAATTCTTTCTAACGTCCCTGTGGCTCATGTGGGTACTCAGTCTCCACCTGTGTCCCCTTGTTCGTGTCCCACCAGTGATAGGCGATAATGGGTTGCCATATGTGTGAGAGTGAGTAGGTGAGTATTATATAGAGGATTCCCGTCCAATCCGTACTCATGAATTGCCTCAACGGATAGAAAATGGTGAAGTTAAACAGTGATATCTAACCTATCCTATCCTAACGTAACCTATCCTAACCTATGGACCCCCTACACGTCCAGAACGTGAATGTTTGCGAGCCGCTGTGATTTATAGTACATCATAGTTTTGTCCGTTGGGGTCAAAATGCGATGTATGTTTGGAGAGAGGGGGTAATGGTAAGGGAAGGGGGTGAGGGGAGATGGGTGATGGTGATAGGTTGGGGGTGAGGGGGTGGAGGTAGGAGCTAGGCACGTTGGGAGTGAAGGGGTAAGGGAAGGGGAAGGGAAGGGGAGGGAAGAGAAGGGAAGGGAAGGGAAGGGGAGGGAAAGGAAGGGGAGTGTTCCAGCTGGTACAATACCTTCACCATCATCACTACTCACGTCCCCTCGCCAGCCCCCTACACCACTCCCCTCCCTCCCCCCCCCCTTTCCTTTCCCCCCTTACCTCCCCTCTCCCCTTAAGGATTATCATCCATTTTTTTGTATTTTCACCTTTAACTTTACACTCTCTTCCTCTCACATCTCCTCTCTCTCTCTCTCTCTCTCTCTCTCTATCTCTCTCTCCCTGTCCTCCACCTCTCCACTCTGTCACCTTTCCTATACTTCTCTTAGGCAGCATGTTGATTTAGATTTAGCTACTCAGAAATGTCCATGTAGCACGGGCTATGGTGAGCCCGTAATTAGGTAGCATTTGCTTCTATTTTTTGCTTTAACCGTTGTGGAGAAATATAGTCAATCAACCAGTGTACAGATCAGGCCCCATGGCCTGATCTGCAGTGGATTATAGTAGATGGATTATTTAACACGGGTGGTACACGCACAAAGGGACACAGGTGGAAGCTGAGTACCCAAATGACCCACAGAGACATTAGAAATAACTTTTCCAGTGGCAGAGTAGTTAGTAAATGGAATGCATTAGGCAGTGATGTGGTGGAGGCTGACTCCATACACAGTTTCAAATGCAGATATGATACAGCCCAGTAGGCTCAGGAATCTGTACACCAGTAAGTTGACGGTTGAGAGGCGGGACCAAAGAGCCAGAGCTCAACCCCTCCCCGCAAGCACAACTAGACGAGTACACACTCAGTATGTAACCAACCAACATTAAATGATATTGTGGAGCCGCCAGCTCGTGTCTCTAGGGATTTACCACAGCAACTGGCGGATATTAACCAGAGTTGAAATATTCGCAAATCCCATTTTAACATGTTTTGCGAAACAACTTTTCCGAACGGTTCTAATATTGAGGTGTAAATTTCCTTCGGTGGTTGGTAGGAATACCGTATGTTATATTGTCACTGTGGTATACGTTATCTCATGTTCTCGCTGTGTTCACGATATCTTATCTCATGTTGCTGTGTTCAGGATATCTTATCTCATGTTCTCGCTGTGTTCAGGATATCTTATCTCATGTTCTCGCTGTGTTCAGGATATCTTATCTCATGTTCTCGCTGTGTTCAGGATATCTTATCTCATGTTCTCGCTGTGTTCAGGATATCTTATCTCATGTTGTCGTTGTGCTCAGGATATCTTATCTTATGTTGTCGCTGTGTTCAGGATATCTTATATCATGTTGTCGCTGTGTTCAGGATATCTTATCTTATGTTGTCGCTGTGTTCAGGATATCTTATCTCATGTTCTCGCTGTGTTCAGGATATCTTATCTTATGTTGTCGCTGTGTTCAGGATATCTTATCTCATGTTGTCGCTGTGTTCAGGATATCTTATCTCATGTTGTCGCTGTGTTCAGGATATCTTATCTCATGTTGTCGCTGTTTTCAGGATATCTTATCTCATGTTGTCGCTGTGTTTAGGATATCTTATCTCATGTTGTCGCTGTGTTCGGGATATCTTATCTTATGTTGTCGCTGTTTTCAGGATATCTTATCTCATGTTG